CTCATTTGAGACCCTGATGCTCCGAGGACTTGGCCATCGGCTCAGGGGAGATGCCTGAGCCCTGGGGGGAGGCTCTAAGGAAGGGGCAGGACCCCGCCCTCCTCTCACTGGCTGCTCAGGCCACGTAGACCCGACCACTGACTTCTGCTCTGGACTGCCCAGCCCAGCCTCTGCCATTGCTCCTCTGTTAGCTTCCTGATGTCCCCTCATTGCCCGAGCCCCCTGGGACTCTTGTCCCCGAAACCCGGCTCACAGCAGGGACAGCAGGGCACCCCGATAAGCGGAACCTCATGGAGAGTCTCAGATCCCCACGCACCAGATCTCCAGACCTTCCCCACCTCAGATGGGGAAAGTGACCTCTGGGGACTTTGGTTCCTGCCCGGCCATCGGAAGGCCCCCTCGGCCTCACCAGCCGCCCTGCAGCCAGTCACAGCTAACCCTCCCCCCCCCCCCCCCCCCACACCACCCATGGCCACCCTCCCAGGGCAGTCACCCACCCACAGGCCACAGTCACAGGGCACAGGGCACCCCTCCCCCACAGCTTTGCATTGCCCCCCCTGACCTCAACAGTCATGTTCTCTCTCTCTCTCTCTCTCTCTCTCTCTCTCTCTCTCTCTCTCTCGCTCACACACACACACACACACACACACACACACACAAAGTAGCCCCGTCAAACACACACAGGCCAGCCTCAATAGAGTCACCTCAACACACACACACTTGCTCTGACACTCGCACATTCCATTAGTCGGGCCGCCTTTTGCACAAGCGCATGCGCAGCCAGCCTCTCCTCCATACACACAGCCCCACACTGACACCACCATTCACACACATCCACACTCTTTCACACCCACTTCTCAACAGCCACACGCTCACTCACACTCGTACCTCTCTGCACACTTCATTTTCACAGCCACCACCATCCCTCCACACTCTCTCCAGTGGAAGCACACACACACGTAGACACACAGAAATGCTCAAACACACACACTTACACACAGCATCTCCCTGTATCTCTTTGTCTCTCCCTATTTCTTCAGGTTCTCCTTTCTCTCTCTCTCTCTCTCTCTCTCTCTCTCTCTCTCTCTCTCTCTCTCTCTCTCTCTCTCTCTCTCTTTCTCTACCCTATCCAGTACACATACATCCACCTGACACACTCACCCCAACACACCTCCACTCACTCGTACGTTTGCACACACACACCCTGTACAAACAGACACCCCTCCTTACTTGCTTGGCTCCGGCCGGTCCTGTTGGGTGGGTCCTGTCACCTCTCTCTCCCAGCCTGGGGACCCCCCTCCAGGGGAGACAGTGATCCCTTCACTCTTCCTTGGCTGGGGCATCACCCCAACCCCCTTCCTCACCTCCAAGCACCAAGGTTTCCGAGAGCCCCACCCTCAGCCCAGAGCGTCGCCAGCTCAGAGAGGGCACGGGGCCGCCCGGCGCGGCCCAGCGGCCAGACCCTCACCTGCTTGCACTTCTCCTCCGCGGCTTTCTTGTCCGACTCGGCCTGCTCGGCTCGGTCGATGGCATTCTCCTTGTCCAGCTTCAGCATCTGCATCTTCTTCTTGATGGCCTCCATGGCTGGGCGGAGAGGGGGCGCAGGTGGTGGGGCTGTGGCAGGATCTGTGGCTGGGCTGTGAGCGGCAGGGCGGAGGGGAAGCCCTTATAGCCTGCCCAGGGTGTGCCGCCTGCCGGGGCGAGTCTTGGAGGAGGCCCAAGCCCAGGCTGGCCGGGCCAGCCGCCACTCGCTCGCTCAGGAGGACTTGGCCAGCTCACCAGGCACCCGCAGCACGTACCTTATTTGGGCCTAGGATTTTCTCAAAGGAAAAAAAAAAGAAGCCGAACCCATTTCCATTTTTAACCTGGTGACACTGGTCCCACCTGAAGCTGGGGGCACAGCGCTGGCCCCGGAGGGTCCGCTGTGGCCTGCTGGTCGGCCTCCATTTCCACACCTGTGGCTGGGAGGCTGAAGAGGACTGTGGGTGGGTCAGAGTGGGCCGGGAGGCTCCTGTCCTCCCTGCTCCTGCCCCCCTGGTACTCCTCCAGGAATTGGGGTCAGGTCCCCATCCATCTCCTGCTACCACCCGGGGGGCCCTCCTCCCTCTTCCTGGAGGGTCTTTGTCTCATCATCTTCTCCCTCCGTCTCTGCTTCGGTGACTGTCTCTGTTTCGCTCCATCTCTCCGTCTCTGTCTCTCTTTTGATCTGTGTCTCTCTCCATCTCTCTGCCTGTCTCTCTGTCTCTCTCACGTTGTCACTGTGTCTTTCTCCAGGTCTCTGTGTCTGTCTCCATTCCCCTCCCTCTGTCTCCCTGTCTCTGATTCTCTCTGTAACTCTTTGCCTCTCTCCCTCTGTTTCTTCAGGCTCCTCTCTCTGTCCCCGTCTCTCTGTGTCTCCCTCTCCCTCTGTCATCTCCCTGCTCCCATGGACCCGGCTCAAGTGGGTCAGACGGACCTGGGCTGCCTTTCTCTCAGAAACTTGGAGGCCCCGGCAGGCTGAGGCCAGACCCTGCTCAGCTCAGAATCCCGCTGTGGCTCTGCAGTCCCCCCAGAAACAGGAGGCCTAGCCCCTCCGCCTCTCCTCAAGACTCCTGCCCACCCCCACCCACCCCTACCTACCCCAGCTCTCCCAGCTCAGCGCCCAGAGCTGCCCTCAGGGCTGCCATTTCCTCCTTCCCATCTCTGCACCTGAGGTCCCCACTGCCCACTGTGCCTCCCCCTCTCCCCATCACTGGGCAGGATTCGCTGCCTTTAGTTCATTTTATGTAAATATATCTTGATTGATTTCTGAGAGGAAGGGAGAGGGAGAGAGAGATAGAAACCTCAATGCTGAGAGGAAATCATTGATTGGCTGCCTCCTGCATGCCCCCACTGGGGATGAAGCCTGTAACCTGGGCATGTGCCCTGACCGGAAATGGAACCATGACTTCCTAGTTCACAGGTCAATGCTCAACCCCCAGCTGGGCGGATTCGCTGCCTTTAGAAAGACTTGTTTGCTCATTCATTCACTCGACCTTTCATAGGTTGATAGCAGCACGTACTCAGAATGTGGGAGCTATTACTCTTATTTGATCATCACTTTCAGACTGAGCTGCTTTCGGGGAGGCCTGTGCCTTGGTCTTGTCTGGGGCCCTTGAGAGCCTGGGACCCAGGTGATCCTTATGAATTAAAGTGAGCAATCCATTCTCTGCACTCACACTCTCTCTCACACACACAGTTCTTTAACCAGGAAACTTGTATTCATCCTTTAAAACCCAGATCAAATGGCTCTTCCTCCAGGAAGCCCTCCCGAACAGCGCCCTGAACCAACACTTCCAGGTGGTATAGAGGCTTCCGTGTTTCCTGCCCAAGGCCACAGCAGGAGTGGGATAACGAGAGAGTCTGAGCAGCAGTCAGCACCCCTGGGAAGTCTGGAGTGGGCGTGGGGGGCAGGCCAAAATTCAGAGTTCTTGGCTTCCCTTTGCCCCATCCTGATTCCTTCACTGCTCCTTAAGCTATTAGTCATTCTCTTTGTCATGGTTAGAACTCCCCAACTCAACGGTATTGGGGCCATAATAGCAGCAAACAGAACATTCTGGAACTTCTTTTATGCTCTGAGGATATTGGTTTATCCCCATCTCCCCCCACTCTGTTCCCTTCTTTTCCCGGCAGTGCCAAGTACAGAGTAGACCACGGAATACGGCTCACTGAGTGCCCACCGGGTGCCGAACAGGGTTCTGAGCTTTTGACTGGCAACATCTCACGTCAGCCTCCCTGAGCGCTGAGCAGAGGGCTGTTTTTATTCTCATTTGACAGAGGAGGAAGCTGAGGTCCAGGGTTACCCAGCTTGCGAGTGGCAGAGCTGGACCCTGATCTAGCGGGAGAGGGGTCCTAACCCACCCTCCCCCCATTCCCTGACTGTCTCAAGCTGAGTCATCGGAAGTCAGCTGACTCCCCTGCCTGCTGGCCCTGGGAGACTCTGAGCCTGCCTCGCAGGTGGGGTGGCTAATTCCAGGTCTGACACCACCAGCTTGAAAAGGGATCTCTCCCCCAGGAGGCGCCTGCTCGCTCCATGGCCTTGTAGGGCAGACCCTGGTCCACACCGGCCTCTTGCTCAGGGAGCTCCCAGAGGTGGAATCGGATGCCTGGGAGGGGAGAGGGATCCGGGCGTGCAGTAGGGCCCAGCGGTGCCATCCTGCCCTGCAGCCTTGGGACTGGAGTGATGTCCTCTCCATGTACCTGCCTCATGGACATCCCAGAAGCCCTGGCCAGACCTGAAGGGTCATCTGGGGCCCCTGGGGGCACTGGCCCAGCTGTCCAGGCTGTGTGGCCTGGGGCACCAGGCAGTGGAGGCTGCCATTTATAGCTTGGGAGGAGTCATCTCCCCTCCTGCATGTAACTCTCCAGCTCGGGGCTTCTGAGGATCCCAGTGGGGGCAGAGTCCCCAGTACCACCTGGCCCCCAGGGCTGGGAGGCTTGGGATCATTTGTGGAGCATCTGCTACATGCCGGGCACTGGGCAGGCTTTGAGGACACAGGAGTGGACATAACTCAGGCCAGTGGGCAGAGACGCCCAATGCCTGCAAACCATTATGACCTTCATAGAGGCTTGGGCGAACTGCTGTCTGAGCTTGGGCTCCCCCAGAAGCCGACCTCGAGACAAGAATTCTGGGGCAAGTAATTTATTTGGGAGGCAGCCCAAGGAGACACGGATGGGAGTTGGGGGGTGGGAGGGTGGGAGGGTTGGAGGTGAGACAGAGAAGGGAAGGCGCCAGTAACTGCAGTCATGAAACCAGCTGCTACCAGTCTGGACAACTGGGGCGCAGTGCCTCGGGCACCTCTGGGAGGCAGCAGAGAGCACCTTCTTTGGAGTCATCTTGGCTGAAGGGCGGGGAAGCTGGGCTATTTATCCACCAATCCCCATCCCCGTTCCTTAAGGCTGCTCCCTGGTTGGGTGGCCTGGGAAAGGAGAGTGCCTTGTCTTGGGCCACGCCTGCTTCAGCAGCTGGCGAAAGACCAGCACTCCGAAACATGCAGCTGCTGGAAGAAGGAATCTCTGGGTAGGAGTGGGGTGGGGTGGGGAGAGTGGGAGAGTGTCCAATAAAAATGGTACTGGAGCCTGGCCGGTGTGCGCAGCGGTTAGAGCCTCAGCCCACTAACTGAAGGGCCACGAGTTTGAGTCCCCATCAAGGGCATGTACCTGGGTTGCAGGTTTGATCCCAGATCCGGTTGGGGTGTGTGCAGGAGGCAACCAATAAATCTCTCTCTCTCTCTCTCTCTCTCTCTCTCTCTCTCTCTCTCTCTCTCTCTCTCTCTTTCCTCTCTCTCACCCCTCCCTTCCTCCCTCCCACTCTCTAAAACATCAATGGGAAAAGTACTCTGGGATGAGTATTAATAAAAACAACAAAAAGTTGCCGAAACCGGTTTGGCTCAGTGGATAGAGCGTCGGTCTGCAGACTGAAAGGTCCCAGGTTCGATTCCGGTCAAGGCATGTACATTGGTTGCGGGCATATCCCCGGCAGGGGGTGTGCAAGAGGCAGCTGGTCGATGTTTCTCTCTCATCGATGTTTCTAGCTCTCTATCTCTCTCTCCCTTCCTCACTGTAAAAAAAATCAATAAAAAAATATTTAAAAACAAAATAAAACAAAACAAAAAGTTAATGGAATGTCTAACAGGGAGACCTGGTGAGCCTTGGGGGGAGGTCAGGGAGGTCTTCCTTGAGGAGGTAGCATGCGGTGAGGTCCGGAGGAGGACTGAAAGGTGAGATGGGGCGGTGGACATGAGGGTTGCAGATTCAAAGACCACAGGTGGGAGGGATGGGTGTACCTTGGCTGAGACAACAGAGGACCGTATGGGGGTGCCCCCCCCCATGTCTCTCCTGGAGTTTGGGGCATGCCGAGAGACGGTGGGGCCAGAGTGAATGCACTGAGCTGGAGGAAAAGAGCCAAGATGTTCTCAGCTGGCACCTACGGAGTCTTGCTCATTGAAGGATAATATGACGATGATAATCAAAATGGCACTGGCTAAGGACGGCCCAGTGTGTGCTGGACAGGTCACTTGGGGCGAGTATGGGTGAGGAGTGGGGCGCGGGGGGCTCACTCCCCCTTTACCCAGACCTTGTGCCGTAAGCACTTGGAAGTCCCCAGCGGGGAAGCTGCTCGCCAAGGTCACGCAGCTGGCACGCGACAAAGACAGGATTTGAACCTGGGTCTGTTTGATTCCTTGGAACCTGAGACCCAGCTCCGGCGCTGCAGCCCTGTTTCTTGAGTCCGTGTGGGGAACAGGGGGCAGAGAGCCTGGTGCCCTTCCAGGTTCTCTGAGGCAGATTCCAAGGGCCCTGCGTGGGTTACCCAGCTTGCCCACGAATGCGGGAGAGCAGGCATGACCACAAGCTTTGCAGCATCGTCATGATAATTAATAATAATTATAGTTAACACCGACATGGCCCTCCATCTGCCTGTGCTGTTCGAAGTGCCTTGCATGTATAAGCCCATATATGATTTTCACGATATCCCTATGGTTACTGGGGCTATTGTTCTTTTCCTTTTTAAAAAATAATATATATATATATATATATATATATATATATATATATATATATATATATATATATATTTCAGAGAGGAAAGGAGAGGGAGAGAGAGAGAGAAACATCAATGATGAGAGAGAATCATTGATCAGCTGCCTCCTGCATGCCCTTGACCAGAATCGAACCTGGGACCTTCAGTCCACAGGGTGATGCTCTATCCACTGAGCAAAATCAGCTAGGGCCTAGCTGCTAGGGCCTATTGTTCTCATTTTACAGGAAAAACTGAAGTGGAGAAGTCAAGGTCACACAGTTAAAAGTGGCAGAGAACCAGGACTTGAACCCAGGTGGTCTGACTCCACAATCTACACACTGAACCACTATACTGAAAAGCCTCATGTGCTTGACTTCCAGCCCAAATTACCCTCACAGATGCCTGCCACAGCCCATTGAATGCCAGTGCTACCACTATTGGGAGACACTTTTTCCTGAGTTTCTGGTATCTACACTAATAAAAGAGAAACATGCAAATTACCATCACTCCATTACGCTACCAGCCAATCAGAGTGAGTTTGCAAATTAGCTTGAAACCATGGCAGCAGCCCCCCTCCCCTGCCCCTCAGGGCCTGTGGGGGTCGAAGAAGTTGGGCGCCAGCACCTGAAGCTGGCTACAGCCCGGTAGATGGAGAAGCCGCCCACCCCACAGTCCTGGGCACCAGCACCTGCGGCTGGCTACAGCCTGGGAGACAGAGAAGTCGACCACCCCTCGGTCCCAGGCGCCAGCACTTGTGGCTGCAGCCCAGGCAAAGCTACCTGCCCGCCATCCTGTGGCTGCAGCCCACCTGGGCACCTATGGCTGACCAGAGGGAGGGAAGCCCGGATCCCGGGTGCCTGTTATCAGCTGGAGGAGGGAATCCTGGGTCCTGGATGTGGAGTCGAGGCAGAAGTGGTTAGGGGCAGTCAAGCCAGAAGGGGAGCAGTTAGGGACAATCAGGCTGGCAGGCAGAAGTTAGGGGCAATCAGGCAGGCAGGTAAACAGTTAGGAGCCAACCGTTCTGGATTGTGAGAGCGATGTCTAACTTCTGGTTATCCCTGAGGGGTTGTGAGGGAGCATCCCCTCTCTCTCCCCCTCCCCCCACCCTGTTCACGAATTTTGTGCACCAGGCCACTAGTTTTCATATAACTTATAAGCAGGTGCATGGGAAGCTTTTTGCTCTTCTGTGTTTTTAAGGATGTTTGGATAGCAAACAGCCTTAGAAGGCAGAGAGTTTCTTCCTGTGGAGCAGAGGGCATATAATAAAGATGAATGCCTCTGAGATAAAGGAAGTTTGTTTGCAGTCTACTTGAAAAGACTGGGGTTTCTGCCTGACTGGTGTGACTCAGGGGTTGAGAATCAATCCATGAACCAGGAGGTCATGGTTCAATTCCCGGACAGGGCACATGTCCAGGTTGTGGGCTTGATTCCCAATAGGGGGTATGCAGGAGGCTGCTGATCAATGATTCTCTCTCATCATTAATGTTTCTATCTCTCCCTTCCTCTCTGAAATCAATCTATATATATAAAAGGCTAATAGGCAAAGTGTCCCCTTGGGAGTTTGGGAGAACGGGAGTTCGATTGCTTGCTATGACATGCACTGACCACCAGGGGGTGGCATGGAACATGGTAGGCGACCAGCAACAGCAGTGGGGCACTGAGGGAGCAAGGGAAGGAGGAGGTGGGGAGGAACCCCATTGGCCCTGATTGCCAGCCAAGCCTAGGGATCCTACCCATGCACAAATTTCGTGCACTGGGCCTCTAGTAAAAATGCATGTAACGAAAGAAAAGATTGGGGATTCTAAGCTTGGAGTTCCTCAGCTGTGATGCAAACCCAGTGTCCATCCAGTGCCAAGCTGGGTTCACCTGCATTGTCCCCGTGGGACTTGGGTGGAGCAGGCAAATCCAAGATTCAGGCTCCCTGCCCTGCTGGGAGTGAGTATGTCTTTTGTCTCTGACCCTGGAGTGTTGCATTTTCCCGCCAGCATCAATGAAACCATGACAGATTAAATGGACAGTTTGAAAGTAGGGAAACTTCCAGGCACCTTATAGTTCTCGGCCCACTTGCTCTCTCTGTGATGCCACCTGTCACTGAGGTGTTGCTCTTGGGATTCTGGATGCAGCCTGTTTAGGTTACACCTCAGCTGCTGCCTTTCTGACCTGGTGTAGATTTGGGTGGTGAAGAGATACACTGCCACCTGAGCAACACATCATGGTCGGGAGGAAGCGCTCTGGAAACCAGACCCCAGGATTCAAGCCCCACTTTGGGGTAAGGTTCAGGTTTAGCTCTTATACCTAAAATGCAAAGACTCAAAAGTCATACGACTCTACAAATGGACCTCATTATTTGTTTAGCAATGCACTTCCTTGGAAAAGCTTAGCTTCTGATTTAAATGCTTCTAGTTGGTTTCCTTGTTAGGAACCACACCCGATGCTCTTTCCTAGCCTGAGTTCTTGTGTCCATTTCATTTGCAGCATTTGCTTCCTTAAATGACCTAGCTCTGTGCCACTCTCAGTGAATGGGCATCTGAAACAGTAGCCTTGGGCAAGAGGCAATCTTTCTATGTATGCTCTTTTGAGGGACAGGAAGCTGTGGGCTCTTTCCGTCTTGTGATGTTTCTGAGTCTGAAACGTGGCCAATTCTTGTCTAAGATCATCGCATTCTTGCAATTCTTTGCGACAAACAGCAAGGAGCAGCCAACCACAGTGACATGCTAGCTCTTTCCAATCACTTTTAGAAACTCAGGCTCCACAGACACATGATCTACCTCTCAGGTTATCGCAGTGATGGTATTACCAAGTGTTGTTCTTTGGCAGAACAATGGTCGCCAGCCTTCCAGCCTGCAATATACACTGAGTGATTACTCTGATCTCTGAATGCATAATAATCTGGCCCTTCAGTGTATCTACCTAATAAAAGAGTAACATGCTAATTGACTTACTTTTGAAATGCCCACTGACCAATCAGGAATGAGCATGCAAATTAACCCAACAAAGATGGCAGGTTAATTTTCATACTTGGGCACAAGCGGTGGCTGGGGGTGGGGTGGGACGCAGGTGTTCCGCATCATCCCAGCCACTCCAGGCCTCTGGGCAACATGGGAAGGTGGAAAGGTGGCTCTGGGCTGGAGCAAAGGCAGTGCTGGAAGCAAGGGGAAGAAAAATTCTTGCACGAATCTTCATGAACCAGGCCTCTAGTGTGTGTGTGTGTGTGTGTGTGTGTGTGTGTGTGTGTGTATTGTCCCCTTGACCAGGAGTTTGACCAGCAGGCAGGCCGGCCAGCTGCCCATGTCCCCTCCCCCTGGCCACACACACACACACACACACACACACACTAGAGGCCCGGTGCATGAATTTATGCATGGGTGGGGTCGGTCTTGGGGGCGGTTGGCCAAACTGCCTGCTGGTCAAACTCCTGGGGACAATTTGTATATTAGCCTTTTAAAATATAGGATATACACTGAGTGGCCAGATTATAATAATCATAATAATCTGGCCACCCAGTGTATGTGTCCTTACCACCACACCACCAACTGATTTTTCATTTTTGTGGTGGCTCCAATTTCCGTGCTAGGATTAATAGCTTACTTGCTGTAGTAGTTTTCTAGGGCTTTCGTAACAAACGACCACAAACTGCTTGACTTAAATAACAAACATTATTCTCTCACAGTGCTGGGGACCAGATGTCTGAAATCCAGGTGCTGGCTCGTTGGCTCTTTCTGAGACTGCTGGTTCTGACTGAGGCAAGGATTTTGTTTGTTTCCTGTTCTACCCTCAACCTGTAAAAGCGCACCTACGCTATAACAGATGCTCACTAAGGAGCTGTTGAAAGGATGAGATAGTAAAGAAATGAACCGAGATGATAGAAAAGAAATATCTTAAGATTGGGACCGGACAGGGGAATTCAGGACAGATGGGCACTCTGTGCGGACACTCAGGTGGGCATCCCAATGCAGTGGTCACCAAATAAAAACTGGCTTCCTGCCGGGACCGGTTTGGCTCAGTGGATAGAGCGTCGGCCTGCTGACCGAAAGGTCCCGGGTTCGATTCCGGGCAAGGGCATGTACCTTGGTTGCAGGCATATCCCCAGTAGGGGGTGTGCAAGAGGCAGCTGATCGATGACTCTCTCTCATCGATGTTTCTAACTCTCTATCCCTCTCCCTTCCTCTCTGTAAAAAATCAATAAAATATATTTTTTTAAAAACAAAACAAAAAAAACTGGCTTCCTGCTGACGAGGCCCGCAGGTGCCCTTCATGTCGCTGTTGTGTTGGCTGCAGGTGAGGGGTTCAGCCTGAGCATGACCAGGGTACATCACGGCAGCGGCCAAGTCCTTCTGCGCCGTGTGGGAGAACACGGGGCTGAAATAAACCCCAATGAGCACCCCGTAGAGCAGCGACACCACAGAGAGCTGAGAGCCACCAGTGGAGAAAGCCCTCTGCTTGCCTCTTGTGGGCGGGACCCTGAGGCCGCAGCAAAGCTGAATGTGTAGGAGACCGATATGCCCACCGAGGGGGTGATGATAATGATGATGATGATGGGCAGGGCGCCCGCGGTGTACACCATTACATTATGGGGGAAGGTGTCAGAGCAGGCCAGCTTCAGAAAAGGACTAGGTCACAGAAGAAGTGGGGTGGGGCAGGGGGGTGGGGGAGGAGAGGGAGCAGGGGACCTGGTTGTGGGTGCAGAATGACAGGTGGGTTAGTAATACCATGTGGGTCAGGACATCTCCGAAGGCTGTGGTCCAGGATGCCACCGCCAGGAGCCACAGAGCTGTGATGTTCCAGATGTGGCGGAGTGCAGCGGGTGGCAGATGGCCACATGGTGGCTGTAGGCCACAGCGGCCAGCAGGAAGCGGTCAATGCCAGCAAACCAGGTGGAGAACATTTGGGTCAGACTGCCAGAGGAAGGGGCCCCTTTGGGTCCTGACACGTGGTCGGCCAGCACCTTGGGGATGATGGTGGAAGGGAAGCATGTCCACACGGCCAGGTAGGCCAGGAAGAAGTGCTTGGGGGTGTGGAGCCGGCGACAGTGACGATGGCCAGGACAATGAGTAGGTTCCCCAGCCTCATAACAAGGTACAGACTCGGGGACAGTATAAACAGCAGCTGCTGCAGCTTGGGGTCTTCTGAGAGGCCCGGGGAGAAGGAACTCAGAGACCCAGGTGAGATTTGCCCTTCCACCTGGGTCTCTGGAGCAACTAGAGCGGAAATGAGGAGCTGTCCGTGGTCCTGGCCAAGGCCAGCCCCTCCATTGCACCCTGGACTTCATCCCATCATTAGTTCAGACATTCATCATTCTCCCACTTTCCCCTGCAACAGGACCCCTGCACGCCCCCCCCCCCAATCTGCTGCATCATTTCCATCAGTGAACACATCACTCTGCTCCCTGCCTGCCTGCAGGATGTCACTGGCAGCTTGGCGCGTGGCTCCCAGGTGCTCTAACCCTGTCTCACCTCCACTACCTGTCTCTCTATGTCCACAGGAACAGGCTAAGCTTGCACATGGGGTAACAAGGGAGTTCTGGGAGTCGACAGCCCCAGAAGTGACCTTTGGACAGCGAGGACCCAGGTATATTGGGTGAAGTCCTGGCTTCATCACTCCTGAGTGAGGCAGTTCTGGGGTGTGTTCTACAATCTCTCAAAGACCCCTAGAAGGATCACCCCTCGACTGATCAGAGCAGGAACCTGCTCATTCACATGTTTCTTTCTCCAATGCTCACCAGGTCTCGGGAGAACCCAAACTAAGACACAGGATTCCAGAGTTTCTTCCATCTGGGAAAGAATCCCCCCTTCTTCATACTACATGCCCCTCTAGCCACACCCCCTTGCTTTTCTCCATGGAACCCCAACACTCCTCAAAACATTGCCTGACCTTGCTCCCTCTCCCCCACCCTCTCAAATCAATGAAAAATATCCTCAGATGAGGATTAAAACAGCAGCAGCAACAACACCAGCATTGTCTGTCTCCTTGCCTGTCAAGAGCAACCAAGACCTTCTATTGTTAACCCAAGGCTACTGTACAGACAGCATGCACCGATATAATTGTTCCATTGCTAAAATCCGGGGATATTTGGCACCATCTAGAAAATACCCTTATATTCCTCCCAAAGGGCAGTAGAATTAATGTAAATGCAACATTTCCAGCTAATTGTTATTGAACGTTGCAATGAATTTTGATACACTGGTGACATCTGAGAAACATTTGCAAAACTTGGCCAATTTGACCTTTGTCACTGTGAGCAGGGTGTACGTGTATGAATCGCTCTGGCTTATAGGAGACATACCAGCTTATCATTGCCCTCAAATTTCCAGCCTGGTTCTAGTTTCAAATAGCTAAGATTTACTTTGGTTTTTATTCTTGGTGCATTGTAATTTTTTGTGTAAGTAGCAAATGTGCAATGGTCTCATAATTATAAACTAGAAAGCACAGGATAAAACATTGAAAGAAAGCATCCAGAAAGTCTTACTCATGCTTTGTAATATTCCTATTACAGTATCAGGAATAACATTCTGATGTACCTGTGGGAGGAGAGAGAAGAAATGATGTTTACAGTGAGTTGCAGCCCTGGAATCTCCAAAACCTGCAGAAGCCAGAGCAGCCTGGAGCGGTTTTGCTACTGTGCAAGACTCTCTGTAAAATATAACAATTAATTTATATTTGGAGCATAAAAAAAGAAACCCCCCCCAAAATATGGGTAGTTTATGGTAACAGGATATAAACATTGGATGCAAATGCTGTTCGTTAAAATTGGAAAGGCTGATGCTTAAATATTTCACCTGAACAGCAACCATGCTTTATTTTAGCTCCAATAAAGAAAAGTTGTAATAGTTAAGGAGAAAGGATAAGGATGTTGTTATTCAGTACCACACTAAAAAGTTTTTGGATAACAAAAAAAATTTCCAGAAAAAATTGTTTTATGTCAAAGAATATTTGTAAAGCAGATAAAAAGCGTTTAGAAAGTAATGCAAGACTTTTAAAACACTACAACGTATGGCTAAAAGCAATTGAGACTTTTCAGATAGGAAATCATAGAACTGGAAAAAACGTAATATTGATATGGGCAGGACATTACTATGCAGACTCACAGATCTGCCTGATGCAAAACTGACGACACCGTTCTGCGGAAAACTGCCCAAGTCAGCAAAATTTCAAACGTGATCAACGAAGCTTCAACACTGTCGCTGAAATTGTTTCTGTGATTTATTTTAAAGGTGAAATTCAAGGCTTTGACGGTAGTTTAAGGTTTGCTGTTAATCATACAAGGCTGTGCCGAAACCGGTTTGGCTCAGTGGATAGAGCGTCGGTCTGGGGACTAAAAGGTCCAGGGTTCAATTCCGGTCAAGGGCATGTACATTGGTTGCAGGCACATCCCCGGTGGGGAGTGTGCAGGAGGCAGCTGGTCGATGTTTCTCTCTTGTCGATATTTCTAACTCTCTATTCCTCTCACTTCCTCTCTGTAAAAAAAATCAATAAAATGTATATTTTTTAAAATCATACAAGGCTGTGATGTGTTTCAGAACATCTAAAATAAAATCTGGAAAAAGTTAAGAGAGAGAGAGAGAGAGAGAGAGAGAGAGAGAGAGAGAGAGAGAGAGGAAGAATTCCATTTATTGAATTTAAACCAGGATCAAATGATGCTTGTGATGTTCTGGTGGTGTAGAAATGTCATTTTAATGAAAAATATTTACATAAAGACTTTCTTGGACATTGTACAGATATAACTTAATTCCGAGGTTCAGGTAAAATTTGCAAAACATTCTGATGTTTTAATTTGGTATTATTTAACTCTCTTTGTTAGGTTATCTTCACCTGATTAAAAACTATATAATTCAAATGAAACATTTGAAACATTTTTTCCTCAAAACTTTATACACACTACTATGCATTCAATAAATAAGATATCAAAGGGATATCTTCACCCCCTTGTTTACTAGTACTGCAGCATTCTTCACAATAGCCAACACATAGAAACAACCTAGGCTACCATCAGTGGAGAAATGGATCAAGAAAATGTGGCTTAGCCCAGACGGTGTTGCTCAGTGGTTTGAATCAGGAGGTCATGGTTTGATTCCTGGTCGGGGCACGTGCCTGGCGTTTCGGTCTTGTCCCCAATAGGAGGCATGCAGGAAGCAGCTGATCAATGATTCGCTCTCATCATTAATGTTTTTATTTGTCTCTCATGTGGGGCCTGGGCCAGTGGAATTCCCACAGCTCTGCTGGTTCCGCCAGCCACTGGGATATGTCCGTGGCTCCTCACTGCTGGAGCAACGGCCTCTTAACGTTCATTTTTAAAAATTGAGGTGAGATTCACATACCATCAATGAACCACTTTAAAGTAAGCAATTTGGTGGCATTTAGCACATTTAAATGACGTACAACCATCACCTCTATCTAGTTCCAGAACATTTTCATCACCCAAAATAAAACTGTCCCCATTATCAGTCACTCCCCATTTCCCCTCTCCCCCCCACCTCTGGCAGCTATCAGCCTGCTTTCTGTCTCTGTGGATGTGCCTGTTCTGGATATTTCATGTAAATGGAGTCATTCACAGTGTGTAATCGTTTGTGTCTGACTTCTTCACTCAATGTAGGGTTTTCAATATTAATCCACATTGTAGCCTGTGTCAGAGCTTCATGGTGAATATTAATTTTATTTGTTCATTCAGCCTTTGATGGACTTGGGCTGTTTCCACCTTTGGGTGGCCATGCCTAGTGCTGCTATGAACAAGTTTCTGCTCTGGACAAGTTTCTGTTTGTGTCCCTGTTTTTAGTTCTTTTGGGTCTATCTCTCGGAGCAGAATTGCTGGGTCATGCAGCAATCCTATGTTTAGCTTTCTGAGGAACCGCCACGCTGTTTCCCACAGTAGCTGCACCGTTTTGTATTCCCACCAGCAGGGCACAAGGGTTTCAATTTCTCCACATCCTCACCAACGTTTGTTATTGTTCATCTTTTCCTATTATAGCCACCTAGTGGGTGTGACGAGGCATCTCACGGTGTGTGCTTTTCACATTTTAAAATTGTGTTTTTACCCTCTTAACCATTTCTAAGTGGACAAGTTCAGTGGCATTTCATACATTCACATTGCTGTGCGGCCTCACCACCACCCATCGCCAGAACCCCTTTCATCCTGTGGAACTGGAGCCCTGTCCCCATTGGACATGAGCTCCCATTACCCCACAAAGAAGTCGCAAACACAGTGCGGAGAAGTCCCATGTGTCCTTCACTCAGCCTCCCCCAATAAAAACATCTTACAATTATGTAATTACATGTCAGATATATAATTATGTATTATATAATATATCCATATGTAATTATATATTTCATATTTATATATAAAGATCATATGTAATTATGTATTTATAGTATAATTATAAAAACCAGCACAGTGACTCTGGTACAACACTGTTAACTGGAGACCTTTTTTTGAAGTTCGCCAACTTTTCTATGCGCTCATTTGCTTCGAAATGCTCTATGGAATTTTGTTACTTGTGTAGGTTCACGTCACCGGCCCCACAGTCAGAAAACAGAACTGTCCCATCACCCAGAGACACTCCTTTCTGCTGCCCCTTTGCAGTCACCTCCCTCCCCTAACCCTCGGTGACCTTAATCTGGTCATCATAACCCCCGTGATTTTGTCATTTCGACAGTGTTCCATAAATCATACTCTATGGTGTGCTACCTTTTGAGATTGGCTTCGTCAACTCAGAACAACATTCTTGAGAAGCACCCAGGTTATCTGTGTCAATAGTTCGTTCCTTTTCACTGCTGAGTATTATTCCATTGTGTGAGTGGACCACTGTTTCTGTAGACATTTTGTAGTTGAAAGAATTTAAGTTGTTTCTAGGTTTTGGCTGGAAACAAGTTTCCATTTCTCCAGGGTGAATAACCAGGAGTGAGACTGCTGGTTCATATGAAGTGTAAGCTTAATTTATAAGAAACTGTCATTTTCCAGAGTGGCCACACCGTGTTGCAGAGAATCCTGCTGGCTCACACTGCATGCTTGATAGTACTTGGTATTGGCAGTGTTTTATTTTAGCCATCCTAACAGGTGTGTCATGATATCGTATCACGGCTTTCATTTGCATTTCCCTATTGGCTAATGATGTCAAACATCTTTTTAAAAAATACTTTATTGATTTTTTACAGGGGGGAAGGGAGAGGGATATAGAGAGTTAGAAACATCGATGAGAGAGAAACACCAATCAGCTGCCTCCTACACACCCCCTACTGGGTATGTGCCCAGGTTTGATTATGGTCATGCCCTTGACCAGAATCAAACCTGGGACCCTTGAGTCTGCTGGTCGACGCTCTGTCCACTGAGCCAAACTGGTTAGGGTATGATGTCAAACATCTTTTCATTTGCTTCTTCATCAACTGTAAATACTTTTTGGTGAGGTGTTCAAATGATCAAGTCTTTTGTCCATGTTCTAATTGTTATTATTTGAAAAGTTTTTGAAAGATGAAAATGAACTTGAACATAAGTTCTTCAGTTTTCTCCCTACATAAAGTGCCACTATATGGCATGATTCCAAATGATTCTATATGTGTGTGTGTGTGTGTGTGTGTGTGTGTGTGTGTGTGCATGTGCGAGTGTGCACGCACCCTTCTCATTGCAGTCTGTGAATGGCGCCCTCTTGAGGTTAGTGCAGTGCACAATCTGCTCTACTGTCCTCCCTCCACACAGCATCCCTTCCCCACACTTCTCCGACTTTGCACTCAAAGTTCCCTCTCCATTCTCTTATTTATTTTGCCATTACTCCTATTCTGTAGAGGGAGACTTTGAGGCACAGAGAGGTCAAATTGCTCAGATGTTTTTTGGTTCCCAAGCCCACTCCATGAAACATAACAATATTGGGGCCAGCAAAGCTTACGTAGATGAAGACTTTCTGGTCCCATTTATATGATAGGAAGACTAGTCAGGGCTCCCAGAGGCAAAGTCTCTTGCCCAAGGTCACGCAGCAGGTTTGATTGACTCCAGAACGCCTACTCCTTCTTTCTGCTTCCACCTGTTTAACCTCTCCCCCCACGTATCTGGCAGGCACACTGAGTCTAGGGTGACCCATATAATTCTGTTTTCTGGATCTGGAGGCATCTGTTGTGTGGTGAGCTGGGTGGGCATGGAGAATGGAGTCTGGGGCTCTGAGTGATAGGAAGGTAGGCCTGCAGCCCCTCAGAAATGAACTTTAGTGCTCATATCCCAATCCTGGTGCCCTGGGTGAACCCTGAATGCCTTGTCAGAGATCCAGATGCCAAGTAAGTGTGTGCCCTTGATAGAACCACTTCCAGATGTGGCCTCTTGAGGAAAGCAAGCAACACTCATCAGTTCTTTCTTTTTTCCTTTTCCTCCATTTCTGCTGTTCCCAGGGTGGTGAGAGACCCTGATCTCTGAGGCCCCTACCCTGGGGAGAATTTCCCCCAAGAGCCCTAGAAATAGCAGAAATCCTAGCTCCGAAATAGGCCTCTCTAGAGAATCTTGGGACCAACCTATTTGATTTTGAAACGCTGGCGCCCCCTCGTGATTGGTTTGGAATACACAGCATGGAAGAGTCAGAGATGAACAGTGAAAAGGATTGAGGAATAAATTAATCTACAATGTTTATATTTATATCTTCGTGATAAATGTAGCTTTTTGTCATTATGAAATGTCTTCTTTATCTCTAACTAATGGCCTGGTGCACGAAATTCGTGCACGGGGGTAGGGGGGTGTCCCTCAGCCTGGTCTGCACCCTCTCCAATATGAGACTCCTCGGTGGATGTCTGATTGACGGCAGTTGGACATCCCTCTCACAATCCTGGACCACTGGCTCCTAACTGCTTGCCTGCCTGCCAGCCTGATCACCCCCTAACTGCTCCCCTGCCGCCTGATTGCCCCCAGCTGCCCTCCCCTGCTGACCTGATCACCCCCAAGGCTTTTATTAGTATAGATATGATGCTTCACAGAAAATTTCACTAACCCTGCTTTACAATAAGGGCTTCAAAATTGAATTTTTGGGGCCAGACACCAAGATTTCCTTTCTTTGAATAGTGGAGGGAATAATTATCTTGTCTTTAAGTTGCCCTGAACATCAAATGAGATAATGACTTAGAAAAGAATAAAAGCACCATATAAAGACAACTGTCTTTTTCATGCACTGAAAAGACAATAAAGTGGTAAAATGAAAAACACTATTTATTCTCCCCCTTCCTTCCTTTACAGCGTTTATTTAAACTTTGAAATTTATAAAAATTTCACTCCTATTTTTATTTCTTTACATTCTATTGTTGTGGGGTCGAACCCTGGGTTCAAAATAAGACCACTGGAGGCTGATGATTGATTAAAAAAAAGCAGGCAAAGATTTATTGAAATATCTGG